CTGTTAATTGGCTCATCATATGAGCCCACATTGGCCAGATGTTAGTTTTCTTTCTGTAAAATCCCTGCATTCCTTATAAACATCTTTTTAGAAAATCATTTTTCTCCTCCAAATCCCTCCTTAAAGACTTTTTGCTGTGATGTCTAAATAAAAGCTGGGCAAGACTTATCTCCTGGTGTGCTAAGAATTCTGCCTGTCGAGCTGACCAACATCAGATGTTTTTTAAAAAAAAATAATTAAAAAAAAAAGAACTGCAGAGTGATACTGAAGATCACTGTATTTTAGCTGATCTTCAGTAACTGTCTGTGATTGTGCCCTTAGCCTGTGGCAATGCAAGATAATTTGAGTTAGCATACTTATCTTTCATTGACTGCAGACTGCAGCTTTTTATAGTTAAATATTTGTTAATGCTTGAAACCCTTTTCTTGTACTAAAACTGTGCACTCTTTCATTGAGAGCTAATGTAACATGAATTGCCTTCCATTTACTGTGGGCTGAAAGTGTGCACATGGACAGTTACCTGGCAGTTATCTAGCATAACAGTAACTGTACAGTTCAGAGCAGACTGCCTGTAATTCAATAGGCACAAGGTGAAATACTTGTGAGTGGGGAGAGGAACTGAGAATTAGACAAAATTCAGAAACTTATGTGAAATGAAATGAAACAATTCACCTTGATTTTCACGTCAGATTGTGAGAATCTAGGAACCTGTGTGCTTTTCATTTCTTTGCTCTAGTAAAATGTATACGTCACTAAACCTATATTCTTGATGTTTCTTCAAATAGAAAATAGGAGGCATTTGAGGATATGATTTCCAATATAGCAGTGGCATTTTCTTCCTGAAAATTCAGAAACCTTTCAGCATGCTGTTGTATCCTTCCACTCCCTATTCTTTCCTTCCTGGGAAAGTGTGTTTGGGAGAGATTGCAAGTTGTGAGTTTGTCTTTACGGACTTACATATACGTGCCATGGTATTTTAGAGGGACGTAGTGTTAATGCTATCTGTCTGTCTATTTGTATGTTTATTTTTATTGTAATTGTGTGTAGGCTTTTGGAGGTCGGGTATAGTCCAAGAAATACAGTGAGTGTAATTTGGAAGTGGGGTTAAGGTTCCTTTAAGAGCTTGTCAAATAAAAATAAAGAAAATACATATTTATTTTTCCCAAAAGAGTAATCTCACTGTTATGTTTTCCAAGCTGCACTTAAAGCTAATATGTGAAGAGTAAAAATAATAATGATATGGTTTAGGAAGTATGCTGTATTTAATTCTTAAAGCATTTCAACGCAGGTTCCCTTCTGGTAGTTATTTTTCAGAGAAAAAAGTTAAGCAGCTGTTACATAGACTGCATGAGGTTTTAACAAAATAATTACCAACTTTTGGTTTTATCTTAGTAAATGTATTTGTTCCTCCTATTTTTTATGAAGCTATATGCTCTACATTTAGTATTATGAAAAAATGTACTACAAACTTTAGTGTTAATAGCTTAATATTTTAGTCTTTCACAAATTAATGCCTGTGGTAGCTGGATGGTTTTAGGTCTGTTCTTATAAACAAGGCCTTACTGATGTGCAAGGAACAGTAATATGTGGCAAAAACTCCACATTAACCAAGGTAAGCAGTATAAATGGGGTGTAGGAATCCCCTGTTAGACTAAAAATCTCCAAGAGAAAATCTCCAGAGCCTACAAATTAAAGACCTCCAATATAATTTTAAAATAAAGCCTTTTATGTAGTAGGAGAGCATTTTTTCAGCTGATAATCAAATGACACTATTATGCAGGCTTACTAGATTTGCAAATTTACAAGTTTTTACAAGTCAGTTGGGTCCCTTCCTCAGGAAATCAGTTTAAGTTTTTTTTCCTGTATTGACTCAAAGAGCCTGGTTGTCCTTAAATCCTTCTGAATATATTTTCCTTATAACTTGACGGCATTGAGTCAACACCCTTATAGGAACTGTAATGCAATAAAAAGAGAAACTGTTCAATATAGTTTCCAGTTACCTCAGGATCACATTTGGAGAAACTGGAATGCATACAATAAAACCTGAGCAAGGCTTGAGTTCCGTGTTGTTTTGGAAGTAACCAGTCCTTTTCAACCTAAAATGCCATTTGAAAGCTTTGCTCTACTTTCAGTGGTCATAAAATGATAACATGAAACTGCATATAACTCTTGAAATATGCATTTTACTGGTTTTCATTTTCTGAACCGTACCTTTGTAGAATTGAAAACTTGATTGACAAGTAACTAAACATGTTTTTACACCTTTAATTTTTTATTATAGTGAATGTTTTTCCTTTACCATGTCCTGCAACAATTTTTTTTTCTCTCCTTTATATTTTTTACTTAGGAAAAACAAGTAGATTCAGATGTGCTTGGTGAACTGTATTTTGTAAAAAGTCTTTAGATTACACTGGACTCTCCAATATGCATCATGCTTGCAAACACACTGCTCAAAATTCCGTCCCAGGTTTATATATGTAGTTAGCAGTAAAGTTGTTACAAATTTCTTGTGTGTATCCAGAAGTAAATTTGTCCTTTATATAAAATATGAGTTTGTTACAGTTGAGGATATAATTTTAACTGTGTTTTCATTTTAGTTTTGCAAATAACATTAATCTGAGGTACTTGGTTATTCTTGTTTTGGCAAATTATTATAAAAAGAATGAAACTCATATTTGCATGCATCTGTAGAGGAAAAAGATTGTATCTGATGTGTTTCCAATTAATACTTTCCAAGACAGGTAACTAAATGGGCTTCATTGTAGTATTTTGTTCATTTTTTTTCAACTTATTTTTAGTTGACTTGGAGCATATGCGTATGGTGAAAGTTGACAAGCACCAACGATTTTGTCAGGAAAATAATTTCAGTAGCCATTTTGTATCAGCCAAGACAGGAGATTCTGTAAGTATGAAACATAAAATCCTTCTTAAAAAATTATATTCATTTACTTATTTTTATTCTTTGCTATGATGTAGTATAATGTATCAGTATTATTACACTTCACATATCAAACCATTGAGGACTTGGGCTGCTGGAGATCCTTTTTGCCTACTACTTGTGTGAAAAATAGAGCTTTGTATAAGTGTGTATGTTCTTTATTAATTACAGTGTCTTTTCATCTGATTTGCAGTTTGAGGTATAGATTTTAATATGGAAGTGGTCTTGCTTATACATCTGCATGAGAGCTGAAGCCTGCTGGATCTCTGTTTGGTGTCAGCTTGTAGTTGAATGTATTCCCTCAGTCTAGGTGGAGTCCTGTTTATAGACCATTAATATAGAAACTTAATACAGTTGATAACATCACAGGACCTGTTGTGATCAAAGTTTTTAATACAGGTCCTGAACCATGGAGAGACACTCCCTCTGCAGGTCTTTTGAAATTTTAACATTGTGGTGTTTGTACTGCTTTGCAGAGCACAGTTTTGAACAATCTTTTGACACTGAGCTAATTGGGTTATTTGTTTTAGTTTGAAGCCTGTGGAAGAAAAGATTCTTTTTCAGTCAACTGTATCAGTCAAATCACACTGCTTTTTTTTGCTTGATTTTTGTCACATGCCTAATGACTTTGTCATTCCCATAAAACAGTCCTGTGTCTGTCTCATATTTATGACAACATAATTTACTTTATTTTTGTGTTACTGGACAGTAAGATCACATTCAATTATATGGGACTATATTTCTGAAACAAAAATGGAATAACTTATTTTAAGATCTTTCATGAAACTTCTGCATTGGACTTCCAATTTTATAAGACAATAGATATCCTGTGAAGTCCGACAATGCTGCTGTTCTCAAATGCAGTAAATCCTGATTTTCCCTTTAGTTTGTATTAAATCTTTTGCATAAAGAAAATTCAAGCTTTTTACACTGGAAACAAGAAATGTGTAATACTTCAGTCAATGAGGTGTGCATCTGATAAAATGTATTCCTTTATCAAGGAGTCAACCTTTTTGTGGAATTTGATAATAGGAAGAAAAAGCAGTTATTTTTATAAGTATGATATATTTAACATTACAAATTATGAATTAATCTATTGCATGTTTTAATTGATCCATTAAATACAGTAGCATCTCACTATAGATATGGATTGTATTTTTTTTAATTTACTGTTTAAAACCAAAGGTAAATCTGAACATAGACAGCATTAGCCAGAAATATCTGTTTAAATATCTACTAATAAAAGAAGGTATGAGGTATAGTCTACAGTAGTTCATTTTTAATTTCAATTTGAATTAAGTCTTTCACTGTTACTGCACTGACCTTTCAAAATCTTCAGGTATTTGGGTAGTTGTACAGGAAAGACAGGGTGTTTATCCTAGACAGTGATTTAAGAAGAGGTCATCCATTACTACTGTGGATATAGACTAGAGGAGTCTTAAATACTCATTTAAGATAAATGAACTTATTTGTTTGGATCAGATATTTCCAACACATTTGCAAAAGATAATTTCATGTACATAGAAAAGCTCAAAGGTCTCCTCAGAGGAAGAAGCCCTTTAATATTTAGAATGTCTAACTGTCTCACTGTGCACCAAATTGCATAAATAAAGGACTGAACTCATGCCTGATGTTTTGTGCAAAAAGTGTCCCGTCCTCATGACAGGTGATCTAGCATAATACACCTGAGAGCCTGGTGTGGGTTAAAGTACGTCTCTGGAAAAGGTGAGTCTGGTCAGGATTTCCTTTCTTGCTGTCTGGCTGCTAGAAGAATAGACCAGTACTAAACCAGGAAGTTCATAGAAAGAGACATTATTTTAGAAGCTACTATGGCTTTTTGGTTGTGCCACTAATTTATTACTAGCTTGCACGTCAGGTGTAAGAAGAGATTGTGCAAAGGTTTTTGATGTTTTTTTAAAAATTTCATTGAAAATAACTAAATGCATGTAGACAGGCCTTGCCTTTTGGGGAGTAGCAGCTGCATAATGAAAAGCAATTCATAGTAGTTTATATTGTGAGCTCAGTCAAATTGCCACGTAGGTAAAATATAGCTTGACAATACAGTGTTCAGCAGCAGTGCAGGCTTAAGCTGCTTCTCTTTAACATCTGTTGTGTTCTCTAAATTTATTTAAAATGCAGCTGCCTATACAGTAAGATTGGTCAAATGACTGAGATGAAATAAAGGAGTTATTTAACATAGCATTGACACCCCATGCTATCTGTCAAACCACATCCAAAGTCTGACTGACTGCTGGGTTGGTGTGTGCCTTACACCATCTTGCTTGTTTCCTGGATAACTTCTGTTTGGTGTAACAATTGGAAAGTTTCGCAAGACTCTTTGGAGCAAATGCTTGGCTTTTGTATTTCTAAGGTTTTTCAGATGTGTACAGGAGTGATTTTGGTGATGTTTATGCACAGTTCTGTTGTTCTCGGTTTCAGAAAACTACATCTCTATTGCATAATATGTTGGTAATATATTTTGTGCTGAACATTAGTGAATACCCTTATTCATATTTTATAGCACCAAGTAGTATTTGAGAGGTGGGCTGTGTAAAAGCTTGTTTAAACTTAGGTCTCTGGAGGCAGAGTAGAAGTGCTGCTTAACAGTCCAGCATACTGTTCATTCCTTGTACCATTGTTGAGTTATTTGCTCCAATTTTAAACAAAATTGAACGTACCAGATGAGGTTATTTTCAGATCTGTTTTGCAAAGGTCATAATTTCGTATATCTCATTGTTTACAGTTCAAGAATGGTTTGTTATATTTGTAAGAACCTTAAGGGTGTCTGTTTTTAATCATTTAAATGCAATTTAATTTTTTTTTTTTTCCATAGGTCTTCCTGTGTTTTCAGAGAATTGCTGCTGACATACTTGGCATCAAATTAAACAAAGCAGAATTGGAACAGTCACAGGTGATTTTCCAGAAATACTTGTTTTTCTTTGTATTAGATTTAGTATTACAAAAAAATCTCATTGCAAATTAATAACCCTTCTTTAAAGAAGCTGCATCTGTTGTTCTGAAGAGAGAACAGTTTGAGAGCTGTTTGTTTAAAATCAGTACTTAAAATTGGTTTGGAAGTTAAAACCTCTCATATGTTTACAAAGACAGTTATAACGGAAGACAGTCTTACATACCCATTAATTACTGTACAGACAGATACAGTTCTTATGATTATTTTTCTTTCAAAAATATTTTTTTAAAAAATTTTGAACACAGCAAGTTTAAGTGATAGAAGGCATAAGCTTCTGGGAGTGGAAATTTTCTAAACCAGTCTTCATTGTAGTCAATCAGGAAAACATATTGTCAGTCACAGAATCAGGAGTTAACAATGTCAAATCCTGTGTTTGGTTAATCTCGGGTTTTAGTTTCCATTGTGTGCCTGTATATTAAAGGTCAAGAATACTTTCCTCAGTCATTACTGTCTGCCTTGGGGAAGGAATATTGTCTTTGGAGTCACTATTTCCCATATTACTCTGATGTGCAGATGAGAAGTGGATCCCATTCTGATTCAGTATAACCCTTCTCAACAGCAGGCAGAACTGTGGGATCAAGCGTTTGGGCAGCTATTATGACATCCTGGAATCTGCAGTCTCACTGTACTGGTCCCAGATATTCTCCCCCTAAAGGAGCTGCATAGATTCTGCCCTTGCATTTTGTGTTCTGTTCTTTGTGTTAGGTTATCCTGGCAATTTTCTGCCATTCCCAGCCCCAGTGAGGAGGGGCTGAGAGAGGAGCATGTTTCCCAGCTGTAGGTGGGGAGGTCATCAAGAAGGTTGTCCCCCATTCTCTTACATTGATTAGCAGTGAGTTAGAGATGTGACCATAGTGAGTTGACTGTGAATGCATGGCAAAACCCTCCTGTGTGTCCTGCTCTGAACTGTAGCAGATCTTTGTTGCAGTTCATGCTGTTCAGTAACTGAGGTGTGCAGAATAGTCCTAGTGAGAACGTTGTTTTATGGCCTTACGATCTAGTGGCAAACTCTACCAGAGTTGGAAGTCACTTTGCTTTTATCAGGGAAAGTTAGATTAAAAAAATGGGTTAATTGTTCAAATAGGCAAGCAAGCAAGAGGTTTTCTAATATAACCCTTTTTCCCTTACCACACCCTTCTGATATGGCTTGCTGCTATTTAAGGCCAAGAGTCTTGCATCCCAACTAAGAGGAAGTCAAATAGAAACCCCAAGAGTCTGGCATGGATGAGTAAGCAGCTCCTAGAAAAGCTCAAACTTCAGAAGGAAGCACACAGGGGGTGGAAACTAGGGCAGGTATCCTGGGAGGATTACAGAGAGGTTGTCCGAGCAGCTAGGGATCAGGTTAGGAGAGACAAATTCCTGCTAGAATCAAATCTTGCCAGGGATGTTCAGAACAATAAGAAAAGCTTCTTTAGGTATGTTGGGGAGAAAAGGACATCCAAGGAGTGTAGGCCCTCTTCTGAAGGAAATGGGTGAGGTAGCAACACAGGATATTGAGAAGGCTGAGGTCCTCAATGACTTCTTTGCTTCAGTCTTCTCTGGCAAGTGCTCCAACCTCAGCACAAAGGCCATAGAAGGTGAAAGCAGGGACTGTGACAATGAATTACCCCCCACCCTAGGTGTAAAGCAGGTTCATGACCATCTAAAGAACCTGAAGGTGCATAAATCTATGGGACCTGATGGGATTTACCCAGGGGTCCTGAGGGAGCTGGTGGATGAAATTGCTAAGCCTCTGTCCATCATGTTTGAGAGGTCATGGCAGTCTGGTGAGGTTCCCACTGATTGGAAAAAAGGGAACATAGCTCCTGTTTTGAAAAAGGAAGACCCAGGAATTAAAGGCTGGTCAGTCTCATCTCTGTGCCTGACATGGTCATGGAGCAGATCCTCCTGGAAAGTCTGATAAGGCACATGGAAAATAAACAGGTGATTGGTGACAGCCAACATAGCTTCACTAAGCGCAAGTCATGCCTAACCAATCTGGGGGCCTTCTACAACTAGGCTACAGAGATGGTGGATGGTGGCAGAGCAACTGACGTCACCTACCTGGATTTGTGCAAGGCATTTGACACTGTCCCACATGACATCCTGGTCTGCAAACTGACAAGGCATGGATTTGACAGATGGACCACTCAGTAGATAAGAGATTGGCTGGATGGCTGCACCCAGAGAGTTGTGGTCAATGGCTCAATGTTCAAATGGAGACAGGTGGCGAGTGGTGTCCTTCAGGGATCAGTACTGGGACCAGTGCTGTTTAACATCTTT